TTCAGTGCCGAGTTAACTCGCAAATACAAAACGACTTCATTTTTTTGGACCGAGAAGAGACGCGAATTATCGGCTAAAGAGGAACAAATTTAGGGGGATGGATGGTTGAAGAGCGAATTATTTCGCACTTGCAAACGAGCATTTCCATTATGAAACTAAGGCTTGTGGACTAAAGAGTCAAAAATTTGGGGGGATGGTTGGTTGAAGAGCGAATAAATTTGCACTTGCAGACGAACATTTTCACTATAAAACTGGGACTTTTGGACTGTAGAGTAAGAAATTTAGGGGGATGGTTGATTGAAGAGCGAATAAATTCGCACTCGCAAACGGGCATTTTTATTACGAAACTGGGGGTACAAGTGCGAGTTAATTCTGACCTATGGACTAAACARTGACAAATTAAGGGGTTGGTTGGTTCAAGAGCGAATGAATTCGCACTTGCAAACGAACATTTCCATTACGAAACTGCGGGTACAAGTGCAAGTTGTTTCCGGCTTGTTCTGCGTGTAGTACGAGCCACAGATCGTCACAAGAGAGAAATAGGGAAAGATGGCGTGCTATTTTTTAAGATGGAGAAAGATTGCGAAGCGATGGTCAGACGGCGCATCGATGAAAATACATGGAGAGAGATGGCGCACCGAATGAGAGAGATGGCGCACCAAGAGAGATGGATGGAGTCACAGTCTTCCCCCGCATACAACGTCCGGTCATTACAGCTGAATTCGGGTCATCTTTCAGTCTAAAGACAACTGTAATGAAAGTGCATTGTATATTCCGGGGAGAAAGGTGGATGGCGCAGGAAGGGAAAGAGATCGCGAACTGATTGGGAGGTGTGCCACAGCGAGAGAGAGAGATTGCGGAGATAGATTGGGAAAGATAGCGCAGCGATGGAGATAGATGACGAAGGAGATAGATTAGGAAAGATAGCGCACTGAAGGAGATGGATGACGAAGGAGATAGATTAAGGAAGATACCGCAGCGATGGGGATAGATGACGAAAGGTCGGTAGAGATCGCGCATCGGTGAAGCGAGATGGAGAGAGGACGCGCAACAATGGTTAGCGATGCCGCAGCAATGGAGAGAGAACGCACAGCGATGACCAAGATTTGTTATTGCACAACATTAGTTCCATCGAGTTAAACCTTCGTTAAGCATATCTGTCACCTGTTTCATGCGATTCCACAGTGATGGGCGGCTGCACCCATGACGACATGAAACAACAATACAATGGCGATGGTGGGATTGCGCACGAGTAATGGAGAGCCTCTGGGGCAAGGATGGAGGTTGCCCGGTTGTCGAGAGAGATCGTGCAGTGATGGAGTGAGATGGAGAGTGATCACTCAGCGATGGAGGGAGATCGTGCGGCGATGGAGAGAGAAATCGCGCAGCGCTGGGGTGGGATAACACTGGTCAGGGCTTCGATAGCGATGGCCAGCGCTGCGGTGGAGAGCGATGGCGCGGCGATGGACCGTGTTACAATGCAGCGATAGCCATAGCGATGGCAGCGATGGAACAATGATAGCGATTGCGCAGCGATGGCGCACCGGTGGAGAGCGATGGCGCAACGATGGTGTAGCGGTGGAGGGCGATGGCGCAGCGATGGAACAGCAATAGCGATGGCGCAGCGATGGAACAACGATAACGATGGCACAGCGATGGAACAACGATAGCGAAGGTAGCGATACCGATAGCGATAGCGATGACGCACCGATTGAGAGATGGCGCAGCGATGGAACCAACGTTGCGATGGCGCAGCGATGGCCAGCGCTGTGATAAGAGTGATGGCGATTGTCAGCGCTGCGATGGTCAGGCGAGCGCGACGGCTGTGATGGGGGATATAGCTTTGCATCACGATGGCGATGAGCTAAGCGCATCGATGGCGATGGTGCATGGCAAGCGTTGGCGATGGCAATGAGCTAAGTGCATCGATAACGATGGTGCATGGCTAAGCGCATCGATATCGAACGTCGTTGACATTTGCAAAATGTCCGAATGACAGCGACACCGGAACTTATAGATTTCCGGTGTTTTTGACCTCGGCGCACAACGAATCGCCGAGCCTCGGCGGGAAATAAACCGTCGACTGGCCTCGCCGCACAACAAACCGCCTCGGCGCACAAAGAATCGCCGCACCTTACACATTCTTGCGCCTGACCTCGTGCGTCGGATCATGCCGATCGACGGTCCAGATTAGAACTGCGAAAATGACATTGCCTGCCCCTTGTTTTCGGGAACTGTCACATCATTGCACGCCGGAGTTGACGGAGATTTTGGGGCCACTGGCATAACAGTGGCTCCGTTCATCTGCACGGTTGAAAATTGTTGATCGACGGCTGACAATTTCTGGTGCCCCTTACCGTTTATAGGCCCTGGCATTTTATGGGCCTAGGGGTGCGATACACGAATCGATTCTGCCCCACCTTGATGGCGTTTTATGGGCCCAACGGTGCGATATGTGAATCGATTCGGCCCCACCTTGATCCCGACGCGAGGCCTGCTGCAACAAAGTATAAAAGGCGTTGCAGCTCTCGAGTTATCCCTTTTGTTGGCGCTCCACAGATCAAGTCGCGCTATCGCTTCCGCGCACATTCTGATATTTGGTCTTCAGCCCCCCCCACCTTCCGCCATAACCCGCTCACTCTTCACTCTTCGCTCCGTCCGCAGTTGCCACATTGTGTTCGGTTCGTTCCTCGCCCTTCGGTCTTCGCTCTTCCTAGCTCGATATCCCTCCACCATAGCTGGTTCGGTGGTTGGTTGCTCGCTCAACGCACGACGAAGGTAAAATCATATAACTTGAGTTGTCCTATTCTGTGTCCGACGTCCGAACACATTCTCAGATGCCCTGTCTGTACCTGCAGGATATAACGCCGCAGCCGCGTTCTGTTGAACCCCGAATCAATTCCCGGTTTTGTTGTTTCGCCAGTGGACGTGCGCTGATCTCTTTTCTCCACCCTCCACCTCCGTCCGCCATAGCCGATCCGCGTTTCGCAACTCGATTACCTTTCGCCATAGCCACGATAACGTTCGTATAAAGCTGCTCGATCCCCTTCGCAAGTTGCAGTCGTCGTTGCGCATGGCGAACCCCGAATCAATACCTAGTTGCTACACTGAACACCGAATCAATTCTCGATTTTCGCTCACCTGTCCCTTGTGAGGTTGCCAACCTGATATCTACATATATATATATATAAAGATATGGATACATATATGTATATATAGATATATATTGCTACACTGAACACCGAATGAATTCCCGATTTTCACTCACCTGTCCCTTGTGAGGTCGCCGACCTGATATATATATATATATAGAGAGAGAGAGAGAGAGAGAGAGAGAGAGAGAGAGAGAGAGAGAGAGATATTGCGAGTCAGTTCGCAGTTTGCGACGTACAGTGTTCGAGAAGTGACAACTGCGAGGTTATTCGCAGTTTTCCCAAAGTTAGACACATATTTCATTAAAGGCAGTTCTTTATTTCCACAAATGCGAGTTAGTTCGCACTTTTTGAGCAACACTGCTGGAGAGTTGACAACCCAACCCGTGCGGCTTTCAGGTCTTCAATTCCACAATTCCGAGTTAGTTTGTACTTTCCCCTTGTGTTGCGCATCGCCATTATTGTCTTGTCTACAGAACTGCGAGTTAGTTTGCACTTGTCGAAACCCTTCGCAATTGTCGATAAACCAGGACTTCAGTTCCACAATTCGGAGTCAGTTCGTACTGTGCCGTTGTACTTCGGGTTGCAATTGTCGCCCTGTCAGCAGAACTGCGAGTTAGTTCTCACTTGTCGATTCGCACTTGTCGATAAACCACATCTTACTCGTTTCGTGCGTCTTTCAGCTCTTCAGTTCCACAATTCCAAGTTAGCTCGCACTTTCCCCTAGTGCAGCGGGTTACCATTGTTGTCTTGTCTACAGAACTGCGAGTTAGTTCGCACTTGTCGACACCCTTCGCACTTGTCGATAAACCACATCTTACTCGTTTCGAGGGCATCTAGTTGGGTCGCAATCTTTCTGAACAGTTATCGTCTTCCCTCCGAACTTCTGTTTTTCTTATCCTTCACCCGATTGTTGTGACTTTGTGTGCATTTCGAACAGCCATCTCTTACGTCCTTTTCGTCCTCCATTTCGTTAAGTCCGAGTTAGTTCGCACTTCGCTTCTGTAGTGGTCTGGGGTTGGGCGTATTAGTTATCCGAGTTGGTCTGAGGTTGGGCGTGCTAGTCAACGGGTGGGAATACAATGGCGTCCGCAAAGAACACATCCACAAGCGCTGGACCATCAGCCCCCGGGGAGGGACGACCTGTACAGCAACCTACTCCACCGTATATGCACGCAAAGGGAGCACAATGGTTTCTGGACTTCGTTGTTCAGGTGGACCTTTTTGGGCCAGCTGTTTTCATGCGACCCACTTGCGTTACAGACGCTAGGGGAGCGGTCAACGTTGTTCCTCTCGGTACCGTCGTCTCGTGCGCGAAGACTCATGGAGGTTTGCTCAAGCTGAACACTAACGGCTTGTACGACGAGTGCAGACTGCCTATCAGAGGTGTTAAAGGTGTGCTGGTGACCATCAAGAGTTTCGCGGGGTACGGCTCGAACATGCCGTTGTGCTCTCACTTCAAAGGCCTTTACGATGGCGGCAGCAAGCGTCTTTCATCGCCAGAGCAATATCTCGATCTCGCGCTGATGGTGCCCAGAGAACGTCCGGTTCTTCCGCCAGAGCATGTTTCCGGCTTCAGCCACCCCATGACGGGCCGTCCGGCTTGGCTCAAGAAACTCCAGGTACGGCAGTGGGGCGCGAGAGTCCGATTCAAGACGTTGGGGGTCGGGTCAAGGGACGCAGCGTTCATACGCAGGTCGGCCCGGATGCTCCTAGGAACACGTCGGACTTGCATTCTCTGGGTACAGGGACTCAACGGGTCGGTACTCCGAAACTTATCAAGGTCCGCTGCGGCGCCGACACGTATTCGCTTCGAGATGAGACAAGAAGAGATTCAAGCAGATCGGGGCTAGATGTTGGAGGGAATGAGGCTGAAGGGATGGGCGCTGTCCGTGAAAGCTCTGGCGAGGAGCAGACTCCTTCGGAGAAGAAGAGCGAGCAACAGAGGATGGTGCGAGAGGAGGTGGCGGAAGGAACCCTCCGCATGAAGAGGATGAGAGGAAAACCGGAGGCGGGGATGGGCGGGGATGGGCGGGGATGGAGGTGGCGACGGAGAACGTGCCTCGGGAAAGAGGCCGACGAAGGAAGAGGGTGGGACGGCCAGTAAGAAAGCGAGGAGGCCTGGCGGTTTGACCATCCGCGAAGGACAAGCCGCGGGTGGAGGAGATTCGGCTGATCCAGGCGCTGCGGCCGCGAGAGAACCTTCGGGGAAATCGAAACGGAAAGTGGCAGCTGAAGAAGGCGATGGCGAGAAGAAAACTCGAAGGCGGAAGACTGCTGAGGCGGTGAGTGGTGGCGAAGGGCCTGTCGGTAAGGAGTACGATGAAGCGGCAGCGTTCTGGCTCGAATACGAGCGGAACGATGTCGGTGAAATCGTGGAGAAGGAGTTCCCCGTCCAACTGCTCATCGACCCCAGGAAGGTCTGCGAGATCCCGGCTTGGGAAAGATATTACAACCACCGCAGTTTGAGTCGTGAAACTGTGGACGACATCAAGGGTACGATGCTGAGTCAATTCTGCAAGAAAAAGGGAAAGATCTGGATGAAAAACCCTCTGGCTTTGGCACCCATCTATAAGCCGGTGACGAGTAGGCCGGAGAAAACTGACAGGGTTCACAAAAATGTCTTCAAGCCAGAGGATAAGGACAAGTACTACTATTACCCTGTTAACGGACAACACACCGTGGCTGCTGTGAAGGAGTTGGAGGGTGAGCCAATGTTCAATTTGTGGAAGATGCACTTGTGGCCGGCGAGAGTAGTGTGGTTCGCCGACCGAGATTTTGCGGGGTATAGTCAGGTCAGTCTCAACGAGAACACGAGACACAAGATGTCTAAGCAGAGATCGCAGAAGGCCACGTTCTTGGACATGCGGGAGGTATGGGAGAATGAAGGAAGGCCAGTGGCCATTCAAGGGAACGCTTCCCGCAAGGAGGCTGAAAAACAAAAGTTCTTCGATTTCCAAAAGCTGATTTTGGGAAAGAGTCTGAACGGAGCTCACTGGACGTTGGCACAAAAAGATTCGTCGCTCGTCGACAAGGAGTATGTCGCTGCGGTTGGCAATGCATTGAGGCAGTGGATGCCGCTCGTGACGGCTGGTGACGACGTTTTCCGCAAAGCCATGGAATTCTACGCGAAATAAGTGGAGGGGAAGTTGTTGGGCGGCGACGGCAAGACGCCATTGTCGAGGCCGGGCAAATACATGCCAGACAAATCTTCGGGTCTGCAAGCAATTCCGGAAATGGGCTCGAAAGGGGCGGCTGGTGAAACGAAGATGGGGTGGCTGGTCCGGGTCCCGCCGCCTCCGACCAAAAAGAAAATGCAAACGGACGACAAGTTTTTCGTGGTCGTGAAGGAGCCAGACATGTTATGTTGGCAGTGTCTCACCGACATGACCGATGCTGAGAAACTGTCGATCCTTGACGACATTCTCGCGCTAAGGGGAGTGTTCGTGCAATCCGCGGGCGGCCATCTGAAGCGTCAGCACAAACCAGAAATTAAAGACATGGTCGCGACGACGAAAGTGGACCGCGTGATGCTCCGTATGTTCCATTACATCTTGTTCCTTCAAACGGAGGAGGACGAACGTGTTTGGCGCCACGGGAGCCCTTTTTTTCGGACCGAGGGGAAGCTTCTGGAGGAGTACGGGCCGCAGGGCCTCACGAAACAGGTGTGGGTCGAAATGCGGAAGCATTTCCAGGACGCGGTGGAGTACGTGAACACTTGCAAACGTACTCTTCCGCACGAGAAGGAGTCCCTCGACGACGCGAAGAAATTGTACGATGATGACAAGTTCCCTAAATCTTTCGAAAAGTCTGTCCGTTCCATCTTGCGACGGACGGAAGAAGAAGTTCGAGACATGATCAGGGTCAGCGGGGATGTGAGGCACATCAAATGGCCCGACCTCAACCGGGTGACCAGCCTTATTCCTTTCACTTTCCCGCCTTTCCAAGCTCACAGTCATGTCACTGCGATCCGTGAGGTTGTGCGACATTACGTGTGCAACCTGTACGTCCTCGATTTGTGTGATCCCACACTCCTCACAGACTGGCGAGAAGACGATTTCGCCAACTTGCAAGGCCTTCTACAAACACTTTCGCCAACGCATTGGGCACTTGTGATCTTTTTCTCCTCTCGTTGGGAGCTCAGTTTCTTGAAAGGCATGCCCACGCTTAGCGTCCATCACGTCAGGACAGGGAAGTGGGTACGTAATGTACAAAACCAGGCCACTCTCCAGGAAGGCAATATGCTGGTTGAGGAGTGTGACCGCCTGTATGTGATTTTTAATGGCGAGAAGCTGGAAGACAACACATTCACAGTCTAGCCGGCCAGTAGCCCGACAAAGGCTTCCCGTGCTCATGGTCGAAGTCCAGCCAAACACACGGTGGCGGGCCCATCAGGACAGGCTGTGGCGTGTTTCGACGTGGCAGAAGAGGAAAGGTTCTCTCGTAGCATGTGGGAGGACGGCGGCATCACAAGTTCTCAAGGACCTGCTTACGGGGAGATGGAGCGGAACCCGTCCCGTCTACTTGGTCAACTCGTAAACTTTTGCAAAGCTGGTCAAACTGTTTTTTTCTTTGGGAAGGCGCATGCGTCTGTTGTGTGGGAACTCCTGCGCACCGGTCGGAACGTCGTCGCGTTGGAGAAGGAGGCGAAGATGATCGATTACCTTCACGAGTTCGTGAAGGCACGCGTTGCAAACACTCGCAATGCTTGCGAGTTTGCCTGCACCACCGGCGAGCGAAACCGGGATCCCAAACGTGACATGTATTGGAAATTGCCGGGGAACAAAAGGACGGACGTTTGGGACTTCCTTTTCGGACCCGGACCGCCTGGTCCGACCGACCTCGAATACAGTCGACGGAGAAACCTGGTGTTCGCCGTGCTCAATGCGTACCACGGTGCACCAAGGAGCCCAAGGTGGTTGTTCGTGGTGTCCCTCAACAATCGGACGGGTCGAGCTGCGGTGTTTTCATGCTCGCCTTCGCTTCATTTCTTGCATGCGGCTGTCCGCCACCATTTCCGATAGCCTAAAGCGACATTTCAAACATCTAACTGAGGATTGCGGTGGACATACTCCAAGGCGCTGAATGATACCACTGTTGTAAAAATACGCGTAGTTTTTTTTTCGAAATGCCATAAGCAGAAGTGCGAATGTATTCCCATTTGATCTAGCAGTCAACCGGTTCGAGTTGTACTGTTGTTTTCATTAGGTGCCGGATTGCAGTGGACGTTTTGGTCAAGTACAGGCTTAGGTGTCGATGTGAATGTCCCAGCCTCGTGCTGTATCAATTTTTTAAGGGTTCTTCATTTCGTGGAACCTGTCATCTTTACTCGTAGGACTTTCGGCAGCGCCGTGCTTCCTTTGTTTGTTTTCGGGTTGTTCTCATTGCTTGCCGCGCAACATCAGTTAGAGGGTAGCAGCGGACGCTTACGTGAAGTAGAAGCTTCGATGCCGATGTAAATATCCCAGCCACGTGGTGCAGTTCCTTTTAAGTAGACGCTTACATATCGGATGTGAATATCCCAACTTTGTGCTCCTTTTGTTTATTTTCGAGTTGTTCTCCTTATGTCCTCTCAGACCGCGGCAGCACCGTGCTGCGTTTGTTCGTTTCGAGGTTGTGCTCCTCTTTTACTCATGTGAAMGATATCGACGATTTATTCTTGGTCGCCAAATTGTTYCGTGMTTATCTCTTTYGTTCGYGAGACTTTGTGGTGTGAAAGCCCCTYTCCCCYGCCCCACCCCGACCAMCCARCTTTCWTATGTTTTGGCTYGYCCTTGTTCTGCGTGTGCCGCMYCGTTTTACGGTTCACCCCCTCKRCTTGKCTCGATTGAATGTTGTCTGTTGGTTCCTTATGACAGTTGCGAACTTGTTCTCTATTCGGAAACCAATTGTCGCCAGAATGTATGTGTGCTTGAAGTTGTTTTACGGATTCAGCGGTGCACTGAGTGATCACCAATTTTGTTATCCCCGGAATACATCTCGTGCTCTCCACGGAATGTTGGCTGTTGTTTCCGTATGAGAATCGCACTTCGGATACCGTACATTTGTGATTGAATTGTTGGTTCCATGTGAGCAATGAGAACATATTCGCACTTTGGCTCCATGTACTTTGTGATATTTGGAAAGTCTCCGTGCACTTTGCAATGTGGGATTGTATTATATTTCGCGTTCAATGACTTTTTAAAACGTCTCTGTGTGCTTTGCAATTTGCCCTCGAATGAATTTCCTGCATTGAATGGTTTCTGGTACTTGTTCGTGTGCTGTGACACTTCACCTTTGGAAAAACACTAAGCAACTTGAGATGTCTTCACCTTGATGTTTGCGATGTCTCTGTGTCGTTTGCAATTTAACTTGTGCTTGAAGTTGTTTAACGGATTTAGCGGTGCACTAAATCATTGCCAATTTTGTTATCCCCGGAATACATCTCGTGCTCTCCACTGGATGCTGGCTGTTGTTTCCATAAGAGAAATGCGAACATATTTTGCACTTGGGATGCCGTGCATTTGTGATTGAATTGTTGGTTCCATATGGGAAATGAGAACATATTCGCACTTTTGCTCCATGTACTTTGTGATTTTTGGAAATCCTCCGTGCACTTTGCAATGTGGCATTGTATGATATTTTGCGTTCAATTTGGAAAGTCTCTGTGCTTTGCAATTTGCCCTTGAATGAATTTTCTGCATAGAATGGTTTCTCGAAACTGATCGTCTTATCTGAGACTTCACCTTTCGAAAAACAGTGTGCAACTTGAGATATCTTCACCTCGATCTTTGCGATGTCTCTGTGTGCTTTGCAATTTGACTTCAAATGTTTTCATCTCGATGTTTGCGATGACAAGAGATACTTGTATGAATGGATATGAATCTTCTACACAGAAAGATTTGATGGCGTTTTCAACCTGTGATATAGAAATGACAAGCCAATATCCATATTAAATCGTCGCGCTGATGGAGTGCGCAACTGCTTCTCCATTAAAGTGCGAGTTCAATCGCACTTCTGGTGTGAGCCCTGAGCAATTCCCTCGCATTTTGCTTCACGTCGAGGTGGGGATCGAACGCACCGCCTGTAAGCACCCGCACATCACGAAACAAGAGCAAGTCCCAATTGGAACATCGTCGGGTCCTCACCTCATCGACTCTCAAGATGACTACAGCCAACAACGGTAGGATAGCAGGTCCGCCTATCCGATGTGGATCTCATGGTGGAGTGCGAAACTCTTCTCTCAAAGATCCACACCGGCTAGAAGGTCCTGCAAGCAGCCGCTGCTTGCTTGTAAGGCATCTTATGATGTGTCGATATAACCGACATCCATAACTGTTTGGTGAGCATCTAGTGCTACGCCAATAAGTTCCAAACACGGCAGCAAAGTCCCCTAAGAGTGTTCTTTGTCGGGTCCTCACCACATCGACTCTCAAGATGACTACAACCAACAGCGGTGGGATGACAGGTCCGCCTACCCGATGTGGATCTCACGGTGGAGTGCGAAACTCTGCTCTCAAAGATCCACACCGGGTAGAAGGTCCTTCTAGCAGTCGGTGCTTGCTTGTAAGACATCTTATGATGAATCGATATGACAGACATCCAAAACTGCTTAGTGAGCATCTAGTGCTACACCAATATGTTCCAAACACGACACCAAAGTCCCCTGACAGTGTTCTTTGCCGAGACCTCACCTCGTCGACTCCCTCAAGATGACTACAACTGACAGCGGTAGGATGGCTGGTCCACCTATCCGATGTGGATCTCACAGTGGAGTGCGAAACTCTGCTATCAAAGATCCACACCGGGTAGAAGGTCCTGCAAGCAGCCGCTGCTGGCTTGTTAGGCATCTTATGATTTGTCGATATAACCTACATCCAGAACTCCTTGGTGAGCATCTAGTGCTACGCCAATAAGTACCAAAAATACGGCAGCAAAGTCCACTGAGAGTTTTCTTTGTCGGGTCCTCACCTCATCGACTCCCTCAAGATGACTACAGCTAACAGCGGTAGGATGGCAGGTTCACCTATCCGACGTGGATCTCACGGTGGAGTGCGAAACTCTGCTCTCAAAGATCCATACCGGGTAAAAGGTCCAGCAAGCAGCCGCTGCTTGCTTGTAAGGCATCTTATGATGTGTCGATATAACCGACATCCAAAACTGCTTGGTAAACATCTAGTGCTACGCCAATATGTTCTGAACAC